TCGGGTAGAAGTGTACAGAAACCAACAAAAACTTCCCAAAATTTCATCACAATTCTCATATTGTCACCAACCCATGTATTTGACCACGCGAACATATCTTTCCATAAAGCCTATAACTCTATTACTACATCAATACGCCCATAAACCACATGGTGAGGACGCAATTTCGTGGCGCGTGACGAATCCCAACTGACCATTCCTCATCAAGTCGTGCATCCATCCTCCTCAACACTTTCTCCCCTCCTCCCAACGCTCTACACATCCGTTCATATCTCCTCTTCGTCCTGGGGTACATCGGCAACAACTTCAACATCTCTGATCTCAGCAACGACACCACCTCACTAAACTTCATACATCTCGCACTTCCTTCTCGCACACCTTCCATGAACAACGCCATCTCCCCAAAATGCCCCCCGGGGTCAACAGTTTCATCTCTGCCCTCTTCCCCCAAATACACCAGTTTAACTCTACCGCTTACCACGAAGTACATCGACAACGCCAACTCTCCTTTTTCAAATATGATATCCCCAGGAGCCAACATTTCCTTAGTTAGCGCTCGTTCGCACAACCTCCTCAGCATAGTAGAGGGAACTGTCGCGAGAAACGGTGCCGTTCTAATACTACCTCCCAGTAGTTGTAACATGACCTCCCCCCTCAAATGGCTACTCATAAACCCCAACACGCCTTCGTCCCGAGTTTTCCTATCGGCATCAAAATCCCGACCGTTCGCCCACAAAAATTGCAAATATTTTTTCACTTTATTTTGCAACTCCAAAGGGACCTCCCTCTCCACCATGAATTTTTTAACCGCTTTATTTTTCGCCCGAAATTTCGCCGACTCGGAATCCAAAGAGCGAATTAATCCCCCAATATTCCCAATAAAAAAAGCAGAAACCCCACACGCCAACAACATCGTCAGCATACCGAACGTTTGTTCCCGGGAGTTCACCGGATGAATTTCCCCATAACCCACCGTTGTCATCGTCGCAAAGGACCAATACAATGCCGCTATATATACCTCCATTGTAGGTCTATCTCGATAACCGAACACATCCAACCACGTGGTTTCGAACGGGCTCTCGGATGCTGCCAGGATATACCAAAGACATGCAATGAGATGAGCTATGAAGAGAACGACTAATACCAATCTCAGCAGTTGGAGAAAAACTGATACCACCGCTGAGCTCACAGTGTCTTCTACCTAAAATAAAAAATGGACAAAATCGGACCTATTCTGAATCTTACTTTCATAAGAAGCTTCCTCAATTTAAATACTCGTAGTAAACGAAGTACTTTCAGCAATCGTATAAACTTGAAAAAACGCAGTAGTTGAACTCCCTCCAGTGAAGAATCCGGCGCGGCCCAGTCGTAGGGAAATGATGCTATGAAATCCAGCAAAAATAGAGTTTTCAAATAATGCCTTGAAACTGATTTCAACCTGAACTCCTGAGAGAGAGAAAAAGAAAACTAATACTACCACCTCCAGTTTTGGAGGAATATATTTTCGTTTTCCTCAGCTGAGCTCTTATACAGGCTTACTTACGAATTCGAGCAGAAATACTCGGAAACTAACAAGGTTTATAAACATATGAAATGTGTATATTTTTCCTCCACACTGTCGATGTCAACTACATTAGGGCTGATTAACCCACCAGCATTCCTGCAGCGTAGTATGCCGTGAAAAAGTTGAGAACAACGTCAACTATAAAGTACACTGTAATGAAGTCTTCCAACACGAGCCATGCCCCTTGGGGCTTTTGGTCGAAGCTTAGCCGATATGGTATGACGATAGACTGAGAAGGAATATGTTTCGCTCTGCTCACCCGGGGTTAGGAGGACTTTCCAAAGCTAACAATACAAGTTTACATACCGATTCGAGACCAACGAGAGATTCCCAGAATTTCCTCTAAGTCTTCCTATTTTCATCAACGCATGTAGTTGACCATGTACACATTTCCCCCCATGCCGGTCCGTGCAGTTTTCAGTAGAGTAACTCAGGAACGGTAAAAATTTTCCCCCAGTTTTGGAGGAAAATGTTAGTTATTTCGAGCTGAGATCAGGAGTTTCCTCACTGCTTATACTACACGGTTTCAAGTAGAGATTTATAGAAACCAACGAGAATTCTCCTAATTTTCCCCAGAATTCTCATATTGTCATCCACACGTGGTTGACCATGTGCATATTTTCACCCCCAGAATGATTTCCTACCTCATACAGGATGAGTAGCATTCCAGTGAGATCCCAAACAACCCGAAATGAGCTCTCAGGTGAGATCACATACCATGGCTTATCGAAACCAGTAGCAGTAGCAACCGC